CGGATTCACTCTTCTCGCTAGAACAATCATCGACTCTTCGTTTCGCGTGCTTTTTACTGCTCGAAAATCTGGGAACGCGAGGACTCGGTCCCCAACGCGCGCGGATGCTTGGCAATTTCGGTGTCCCCTTTCAGGGAGCAACTTTGTCGTCCAATTAGTTGCAGGACGGTGGCCAAAACGCGTGGAAACGCGATCGGGGGAATCGTAAAAGGCCCGTGTATCGTGAGGCCGATCGTAAACCGCGCGTTTTCGCACGGTAGGTAAAAATAAAACCTGCTCGTTTGCCGATGTAAATCCGATCGGCGGTCGGCGCGGCATAAGGATAAGTCAAGACATCCGGTATCGTTTCATTGTTAAACGAAGCGGAGCCTTGATTTTGGTCGACGCGGGACCTTCGTGGAGTCTGGCCGGTTCCCGATATCCGTCGAACGGATCGAATCGATCCGTCTCACCTCTCGGCTCGTCGCCGATTCGCTTTTCGCGGACGCGCCGCGATCTTGAAATTCCGCGAGCCCAAGGCGCTTCGCTTGCGTGGGATCAAGATCGAGCTCGAGCTCGCGAGAAAACACGGCCGTGTTCTGCGAATCCAGCCGGCGATTCCTTTTAATTCCCTCCAGCCACGTGCACCAATGTCCCGTCTCCCCTCTCTCGTCCCTCTGCTCTCCAAAATTTCCGTACCCTTTATTCCTCCACCTTCCCTCCCGTCTGCAAATTCGCAATTTGCTAGAATAACGGCTACTAAATGTCGACCAATAGTCACGAAGGTTAGGTTAGACTCGGCATTTTCTCGAGGCGAAATTTCGTTTCTGTCGGAGATTGGGCATCCACGAAACACTGTTTACACCGAGACGTTCCTCGCGTGACTCGAGGCATTTTAATAGACCATGGCAATCTTATTTCGCGTGCAAGCCACAGGGCCTCGTCTCGGCCATCCTGCACAGCCCACTGGATCCTCGGGACACCGTTTTCAACCAGCTTGCAGACTGCAACACTCGCTAATCTGCCAACACCCATTGCAAACGGACCACCCCTGACCAACCGGTCACTCGTTTACCTATATTCGAAAAATAAAGGGATAAAGGAAAAATGAGGAGAGAAACGATATGCCAGTGAAGGGACGGAGAAAATCGGGGCTGGTTTGGAGACGCGAAAGGGGGGCTAGTGGGCTGTGGAACGCCGGTGGAAAGCGAAATGAAAAATTCGACCGGGGGTGAAAGGTGGGAATAAAAAGGAGCTTCGGGTCGCGCAGCAGAGCCGAGAGCTTTCCCGTTATGCGCCTCCTCTCTAAGCCGATTTCGAGCTGCCGGCCAGAGGCCGGTACCGCTAGCTTCCCAGAAATCGACGCTCGATAATGCCTCTCGATACGGATGAAGCAATCTCCTACTGTCGCACCGCGCGAGAGGGGAAAAAAAGGCTGCCCCGTGACAGAAGGGTGGGGAACCGACGGGTGGGGGAAGTCGCACATATAGCCGACACACCACTAGCTCATGTTTTATTCATCGTTCAAACAAATTCGAAGCGTACTCTTTATCGCGTGCTTCCTCTTCGTCACCGCGCCGCCCGATAACGTGGTTGTCCTTCTCTTATCCGAGCTTTCAGGGCTACCTTCCCGTTCAGGGATGCCTGCACGATTTGGACATCCCAGACCCCTTTCCTCCAATTTCGACCAATTTTTCTTCCTCTCCTCTCCTCTTCTTTTCTCTATTTGCCGAATTAACGCGAGCAATCGTCTTCGGTGGGATCGGTTCGCGATTTATTTCAATGTCCTCGCGATTTCCACATCCGAGATCCCTTTTTCATTAAATTTTATATTTGCTTCCTTGCTCGGGCATTTTTCGAAAATTCGCGCAATTCTGATGCACTCTAATGGGGATAAACTGTACTCTACTTTCATATTTGTTTGTCCGATTTTCGACTTTCGAGTCGTTCTGCGATTGAGAAAATCGGCAACGCAGGTTGCAAATTCGCGGAAGTTATTGGACGATTGGAAACGGACCAGAGGAAAGTTCTCGAGCCGCAAAGTGGATCAGGTAGATCCAACGACAGAAATAATTGGCGTCTGACTTAAATTCGATTCTACTGAACTGACCTACTATGATCGCCGCGCTCAATCTTAGCGTTCGTGCATTTTCGCGAATTGATACGCCAGGTTCGTAGAAGATCGAGGTGTCGCCAGATCGATTCGCCATTAGCGACCTAATTTTTCCCGCGAAAATGTGTCTCGCGCCTGAAGAGAACTGGTTGGCAAGAAATTGTGATGGAAACCTCGCGTTATCGCAGTCACCTTCGATTTATACCTATTCGATCCTCCATCGCGTATCTTTGTCCCCTTTTCCTCTCTCTCCGCAATTTTTCTGACGTTTGAAATTTAAGTACAGGGTCTTCCTATTTTGTTTCATCGAGGAACGCGAGATTTCTTTGCTTCTCGTTGATCCTATATATTTATGTGGATTTATAAATATTCGAATGGGAGGAAAATTGGAAGTCTTATTTATTTTGCAAAATTATGGAAAATCGGTATGCATATTCCTCACCCTGGATTCGGAATCGTCGACGAACGATTGTTTGCAATAATTCTAACGATGGAGGATGAAAATTTTGATAGAAAAGTTGCTATATTTTCCTCGAGGAATTTCATTTACATCTACGCCGAAATATCGGAAAATGGAATTTTTCCCTGACGCGTTTTTGCACTCGTCTCGAAGAATCGCGTCATTCCTGCGTTTCCTCTTTCGTTTTACTATTTATAGTAGCGGCCCCACGAATGTCATTCACAATTTCGTTGTCAATTCCGCTGTTGCATCAGTTGGAAACATCAGTGAAAGGATTCTTTTTCCTCGTTTTTTGCCGATCGAGCGATCACGAGCTTGTGATCGTGGTAGAATTGCGTAACTTTCATTCAACATCCTGTAAGAGGGAAATTTCGGATTCAAGAATCGGTCGATTTTCCTGGATCGAAGGTAACGGAAAATGTCTGGTCGGCGACGATGACGAAATTTGCAGACGTAAACACGTGTAGGTCGCGGCGCGCCTTCGGCCAGAGCGAAGGCAAAAATTTTCGATTCGCGATCGCGTTTCCGACAGATGATCGGGAATATTCATGAAACGGAACGGGCCAGAAGACGCACCTCTGGCCAGTGGCTGGCCGATATCTCGGCCTCGGTGGAACGAGGAGCGAATAAAATGGCGAACGGAGGATTTTGGCGGAAGGAAAAGAGAAAAGGAGTGCGCGGGTTAGCTGGTGGCTTTTCCAGCTGTTGAAATTGGTAAATCGTAAAAGGCGAGGAGTCGTGCCCGGAAGGTTTTTCTCCGGCTGGAGCGACTCGTTTCGCGTGCCTCTGTCACCCCTGTCGCCCTTAAATGGCCGATCGAAAAGGCAACGTCGGCGATGACGCTAACGAGCCGGATCGAGTCTCCCCCGTGTGGAAAAACGAAGGATTTTCGGGAGCCGGTAGCATGGGCGAAGGGCCTCTCTGGAAGCATCGTTGAACCATAGGCAGCGTCCCGAATCAATAAACGTCAAGTACATCGAAATAAGAGCGGAATAAAGCGTGTCTGGTGTGGATGGGAGCGTAGCCGGTCTCACGAGGTGCTCGTTGGACTGGAGGCGCACCACCTTGCTGCCAGAAAACCCGATGGTACCTTAAGGAGAGAAGTCAAGGGCAAGAAGCGTCCCTTCGTTGCCCAGTCTGGCCCAGCTTGGGCCCTACTTGGACCCCACTCCGTCCGTCGTCCACCCCCTCCCCGTACCTCTTCTGTATCTCTTGTAGAATCCCCTGCTCCTCCAGCCCCTTCACCTTTCTGGATCTCCCTCCTTCCCCTCCATACCTTCTATCATCCTTCCGTTCCGCTCCCTCCACCTTTCCAGCCCTTCTTCTTCGGGCTCTCCCGTTCCACACACGAACGCCGGAGTTGGAGAGTTGGCTCTCTCGGTGCTTTCTTGAAATTCGTCTCTCTACCAGCAGTAGCAGCACCAGCAGCACCAGCAACACACCGGGTTGTGTATACACTTACGACAGAGTACGACAGAGACCACCTCCTCCCCCTTCTGCCCTCGTCTCAACAATCCATATGTATGGGGTTGAGGCGCACAGGCGACGCAAATGTGCTGACTACATTACGCCGCTATATAAGATAGCCGGCCAACCATCCTATCCCCACAGACCGAGCCAGATCGGCAGACCGTTCACAGACGGACCAACGAACCGATCTACCGATACAGACACGACACATCTTTTTCGTTCACGGACACGCTCGCGAACCAGCCAATTTAGGGTTATCCACGTTCTCGCCCGAGTAACACTTTGCCGATATTCCTCGATCCGTTCGATTCTCCAGTCGGGAACAAGGTGATCGTATTTTTCGACTTTTACCGGCATCCAACTTCCGTTCAGGAACCATACAGCTCGACCAGCTCACGTATCGCTTCGGCACATCCACGACTTCTTTCTGTTTTTTTTTTCTTTTTTTTTTTTTTTTTTTTTTTTTTTTTTTTAAATTTTTTTTTTTTTTTTTTTTTTCTTTTTTTTTCCTATTTCCGTTCCCCTCGGAAAACACGAACCGCTGACTAGTCGTCGTTTCGGCCCGCGAACCATACCACACGGCACGTGCCACAAGATTTCCGAGCTTTTCGTTGCAACGTTTCGCGATAATCGATACCCCGTATTCCCGCGATCTCTGGTTGCCACGACGAGGTTCTCCACAGACGCGACACCGTAATATCCCACTGTGACGAGCGTCAGTGAGTGCATCGAGGAGGAGAAACAAGGTCGAAGATGATCCCTTTGACAGCCACCACGTGCTTCCTAATCGCTATCACCTTCCTGGCACTCGCCCTCATCCTGCTGGATCATCTAAGGTCCAAGAAGACGACGAAGAATGTCATCTTGGATGGCGATGAACACGTCCTGCCGGAACCACCTGGACCCAAACCGTGGCCGATTCTGGGCTCCCTTCATATCCTGGGTCGCTACGACGTACCCTACAAAGCTTTCGCTGACCTTGTTAGGGACCACGACTGCCAGGTGATCAAGCTCAGGATGGGATCTGTGCCCTGCGTGGTCGTTAATGGCCTGGAGAACATCAGAGAAGTGCTAACCATCAAGGGACACCACTTCGATTCCAGGCCAAACTTCACCAGATATCATCTGCTCTTCGGTGGAAACAAGGAGAACTGTAAGAGAATTTCTTTTTTACCTTATCCTCCACTTGCTCTCTCTCTTTCTCTCTCTCTCTCTTTCTTTCTTTCTCTCTCTCTCTAATAATATCTCTTCGCTGAGACTCTTTTCATTCGCGAGGATATTTCCCAAGTTCGTGTCTCGAAATTCCGTGCCGATTTAATTAACGACCGTCGAAACTGCCGCGAAGGATTTTGCACTCGCGTATAATCCGAAAGTAAACTTCAAACGTCCCTAACGATCGGAATTAATCAGGCATCCCGTTCGGTCACTCGACAACTCGTTCACCGTGCGAGCCGCCTCGCTGCTAGTTATTTTTAATTATTCGAAAACACCCGTGGCCAGCGATTACGTAACACCGTCCGCGACGGAATCTCTTCTCGCGAGCCTTCGAAACGGCTGAAAGAGAGCTCTAGCTCGTCGCGCGGACAGCGGTCCGCTCTCGGGTAAAAGCGAATTGTCTAGCCCGTCCGATAAGCTTTGGAAAAGTATTCGTCCGCGGATGGATTCGGCGTGAGTCAGTGTGAAAATTCAATTCGTCGACACCTCGTCACGGCTGCTGAAAACTCGTTCCCCATGCTAACGACCTTGCCATCGTACGCGACACGTGAGCGGCCGGCCCACACAACCGCAGCGCCGTTTATTTTTCGCGTGGCTCGTGCTTTCGTTGCGTCCACGGAACGCCGAAACTCGTGCTAAGGTCAACGTCGAAGCGGTACCAAGTGCAAGCCGGAAAGGTCACGGTACCACTTTCACGCGTTCCTGGCTCACCTGGCAGCCGGCAAACAGGATCAAGGCTGATCCACCGGAGGCGTTTCCGATACACCGCAGTCAGCGCGATTTTCCTTCTCTCTTTCGCTTCCTACGTCTTCGCCTCACGCCGATTTCGCGTTTAGATCCAGAAACCATTTCCTTCGTCGACCAACGTCGTTAAATTCCACGAAATTCGACTAAATTCCAGGAAACGACGAATTTTTAGAAACAGAGGTGAAAAGAGGGAAATTTCGATAAATCGTGTCGGTACGTGCGATTTGTGGACGAGAGTCGAGAATTCTCGAAAATGTGGATCGCGGTGTCAAGTAACTATGGTCGCTGGGTCGATTTTGGCCGATCGATCGGTCAAAGGATTTTCCGAAAATCCTGAATTCCTCGCGCTCGAGGAACCGAGACGACCGGTATGTCCTGGCGAGGCGCGAGAAACCAGGTCACTTCCTGTTCTGGTCTGCCCGCGACCGCTTCGATTTGAAATCGAGTCGCCTGGCGCTCGCGCGCCGATGAATCGATTTTCTGCCGAGTGCGCGCGATCGGCATCTGCCGGCTTGCATTTCCGCGTAGCGTTCCCCTCGCCAGGCAATGAGAGAAGGAGAAAGAACGGGGAAAGAGAAAACGACAACGGAAAGGGAGAGGAGAAAGAGCGCGCGTCGTCGGATTTTTCCTTTTCGTTTTCTTCCTCCTCGCCGCGCCGCGGTATTTCAAAACGCGTTTCCTACGTGCGTCACGAAGTGCCGTTGGAAGGTCAAGTTTAACGTGGTCATCTTTGTTTTACCTTGACGCGGGCATCAATGGAAATCGCTGAATCCCGCGATCGATATCCGTTATCGATTTGTCCCTGTCACCGGGCAGCTGTTTCCACTCGCGATCGATGGGTGCTTCGAAATCGTCCGCTTCCTCGTGTCGCCCAAGCTTTCCAGCCGTTTCCAGCCGAGATTTAAATTCGATTGCGAAACGATGATACGTGATTTTCTGAAACGGCCAACGTCGACGAAATTCCTCCACCAATCCCCCGGATTCCGCTGCGTCCGATGGAATTTCTGAAAACTGCTCGCCTAAAGACTTTTCTTCTCTTTCCATTTTACAGCCCTGGCGTTCTGCAATTGGTCAGAGGTCCAGAAGACCCGAAGAGAGATGCTCCGGGCTCACACCTTCCCCCGCGCCTTCTCTACGCGCTACAACGAGCTGAACGGTATAATTGCCGAGGAAATGGAGTTTATGGTGAATCACCTGAACGCACTCTCGAACCAAAGCGTACACGCGAAACCGCTGATCCTTCATTGCTGCGCCAACATCTTCATCACCTATCTCTGCTCGAAGAACTTCGGTTTCGAGCACGAGGGCTTCCGTAATATGGTGGAGAACTTCGACAAGGTGTTCTTCGAAGTGAACCAGGGCTACGCGGCCGACTTTCTGCCATTCCTCATGCCGCTTCATCACAGGAACATGGCCAGAATGGCACACTGGAGCCACGAGATCCGTAAATTCGTCATCAAGAACATCATCTCCGACAGAGTGAACAGCTGGAAAGGCGTCGTTCCTGAAAAAGACTACGTAGACTGCCTGGTGAACCACGTGAAGAACGAGACGGATCCTCCCATGTCCTGGAACACGGCTCTCTTCGTCATGGAGGACATCATCGGTGGTCATACAGCTATCGGTAACCTCCTGGTCAAGGTGCTGGGATTCCTTGCCACGCGACCAGACGTCCAGAAGCTAGCACAGGAAGAGATCGATGCTATTGGTCTGCCTAACAAGTTCGTGGGATTGCAGAATAGAGGATCCTTGCCCTACGTCGAAGCCATCATCTTGGAGACCATCAGGATAATCGCCAGTCCCATCGTCCCGCACGTGGCTAACCAAGATAGTTCCATCGCTGGTAAGTTCAACTGCATTTCACCCATCAGCCTGTCCCATTCGCAAAATTTTCGTTTCGTCTGTTCCTTTATCAATCCTGGATTGATTCGATGATTTATTAAACCTCTCGACTTTTCTTCGTAGGATACAGAATCAAGAAGGACACCTTCATCTTCCTAAACAACTACGACCTGAACATGTCGACCGACCTGTGGACCTCGCCAGAGAAATTTATGCCCAGCAGATTCGTGCAGAACGGAAGGCTGCTGAAGCCGGAACACTTCCTGCCGTTCGGTGGCGGTCGAAGGTCCTGCATGGGCTACAAACTGGTGCAGTATCTGAGCTTCGCGATCCTTGCCACGCTGCTGAAGAACTTCACGATAACGCCTATCCCGAACGAGGATTACGCGATCCCTATCGGGAACCTGGCCCTGCCTGAGATGACATTCAAATTCCGATTTGAACGACGGTAGGGCCTGAACTAGGCACGAGCGTTGGCCCTGTGTAGGAAAGAGCTAACCGAGGACTGGAGCAGCAACTCCGGTTGCTTCGACGAAGCTTCGGAGATTGAGAGCAGGAAACTTCAACGACAAAGCAACCATAATGGATCGTTGGGTGAACGGTGTTGAACATGCACGATCGAGGAGCTTCATGAAAATCGGGAGCAACGAGGAATCAGCTGAAGAGAGGCTTCTGATCTTTAGACAAAGCTTTATAAGGAGGTCGAATACCACTAGGATAGGGCTAGGATCAGGATCCGACCTCCGTCAGCAACGAGAGCTTTACTGACATTACTAGATGGTTAAGGTAGCAAATTGTTGATCGTCCGTCGACGCGTGGAACTCTCCCCTTCCCTGAAACGGTTCCAAGACGATCAGCCGCGTTATCAGGAGAGAAAACTTGGACTGAAAAGAAGAGGACTGACCCCATGGGAATGCTGCAAGAGAACACGGTCGTTTTAGCGAGCAGCTTAGGTAAACCGAGCCTTACTGGTCATCTTCTTGTTTCTTTCTTATAGAATCGTGCTTCTGTTTAGTCCCAGTAGAGAACCGAGTATCCTCGTTCCTCGTACACCTCGAGGAAGGATTAAATCCTGCGACGAGGACGAGGATACGCGTTCTATCGTCGCGTTATCGGATGCTGGTCACCAGTAAATCAACGTTTCCCTCGGAATCGATCCTTCGATCGGTTCACTTACTCCATCTATCGTTTCTTTCTCTTCTTTCCATTTCGTTTACCTTCGTTGAAATTGTTCTTGCCCTCGACGTATCGACTACTCGCGTATCGATCGATTTCAAGGGAACACGATGAATCGACCGGTGATTCACGAACATCCTCGGATCAGAAATCGCCGAGACACGCGGATTTTCTGTTTGATCTAACGATCACGTACACGACCGCCGTCCGATAACCGCTAATTCGAAAGACGACACGCTAGAACGTGAGCGGTAAGCACGGGAAGACGAGACGATTTCGCTCGCGCTAATCGTTCGATCGCGTGAAATTAGGAGAACGAAGCGGCTCGCAGCCCTCCAAGAGGGTGCAACGCGAGCCAGCGACATCCATCGTTTCCGATATTCCGAATACTCGACCCGTATCTGCGTCGACGTTGGCCCAATATCGGTTCCACTTCGTCTCGAAATCGGTATATTCGACTCTTCGTTTCGCGAAGGAGGAACGGGAAATTGGTCTAGAAAGGTGACGAGTCGGAGACGTTCTTCATCGTTATAGCCTTTCGGATTAGAAAAATCTTTAGGTGTATCTTCGAGAGCAAAGACCAAAGCGTAAAACGAAATTTTTGTTATCAGTCTTCTAGCTCGTCGCGGTTCTAGTCTCTCGTTTCTTCCGAGCAATCGTGGCTTATCCAGAATCGAGCACGAAATTTCTCCAATGTTGGACCAACGTTCTAACGGGATATCATTCGATCGGTTTTATTCGTTTCTCTTTCTTTTTTGCATTATTTTTGCCCGAAGAAAACGTTAACGAGAACATCGCACCGAAGGGTACAACATGTTAACTTTGTTAATTCTCGTTTCTCGACGCAACCCTCGACACGCGTTCCTTTCTTCTCTCCTCTCACTTTCTCTCCTCCCTTCATCTTTCCCCTTGTCTCTTTCGTCCCTTGTTTCCCTTAGCGCAAATCGACCGATCGGCCGCCATCGTGGCTATCGTCCTCGTTGTAAAACGCTGGACGAGGATCGATGGTAATCACCCGGTGGTGCAAAACGGTCGCTCGTAAGGGGTGGGAAAATTGTAGAGAACGAACGAGTCTCGAGCAAGACGAGAAATCGATTTTTACTGTAATTATCGATTATTACACGACTGAATGATTTTTCTCAAAGAGAAAAGTTGATTTCCCGCGAGCTACACTCGCGTATAATAATTTATTTCCGCTATCAAGCATCGATTCTTATCATTATTATGTTATTATTATTATATTATATTATATTATATTATATATTATTATATCCCTTTATCATCACATTCTCCACCACCCCTCCCCACATTTCGTGCTTCCACGTCCGTACGTTATTTTGTGTTTGTTATTTAATTATCGTGATTGTTACGACATTTGTTAATTTATTATTTAAGATTTTAATAATAAAAGCGACAAATAAGATCCACGATTTTCGTTAGTCGTTCCCCCATCGGACATCCTACTTCGCCATCATCCATCTCTATATAGGTGGAGGAATTATTCGCTGAAACGTTCGTGTTTATCAAGTAGACCGTGTTTCTCGAACATCAACAATCGCGTCAGTCAAACTCGACGTCTCTTATCGTTCCATTCTTATCGAGATCAACTTGTTGTCACTGCTCGATGTTTGCCTCGTATTTGAATGTAAACCCGCAAATAAGCGGCCGATAATGGCGACTCGTCTTTTAATATCTCGGCTCGAAACGAGCTGGGATTCGACGCGAAATAAATTATAATTCTGCCCCGGGAAGAAATTATTCTTCATCTCCGAGCCGTCGATCGCTTCTCTTTAATGCCAACGGTAGTTCAGTTACAAAACATCGATATTACATTTCAAAGCTATAATTAAAAGATAATATCGTGCAACACGGATCGTTACTCGGGTTCGGTATTTTATTAATTACCTTTAGCATCTATTAACGGTATAAAAATATTTAATCGCGCGAACATTAACCGGCGGACTAACTTCTTAAATTATGCTAAAGAAGAACGAGCAGATGGATGGCAGGCAATCGTAACTTATAGCAATCGCGCGATTAATTAGGCATCGAAATTAGACTCGCGAGAGATTAACTCTCCGGCAGGTGAGCCGTGCTAATTTTCGTCCGAATTCTCCGCGAATGCTTCGAAGCTTAAGATTAAATAAAAAATATCTCGAGATATTTTCCTATTTGCATTGATACGCATTTCTCGATTCGCTATAATTTCCCAACTTCATCTTTGTCCCCGAGATTCCTCCCGGAGAATCACGCGCCCGCTGTACCATTCTTGACATCCATCATGCTCTTCTCCTCTGAATCATCGTCGGCTGCCTTCCTCCTCGAGAACATATCCTCGATCTCCCTCAAGGATTTTCCCTTTGTTTCAGGCAGGAAGAACGCAACGAACAATGTGCCAAGGAACGACATCAGCATGAAAAAGATGAACACTCCGTGCCTGCCCATAGCAGCCTCCATATCCGGATAAGTTTTCACGGTGATCGAGCTAAAGATGAAAGTGATACACGAGGTCACGCCCGTTAACACTTCCTTCACCTTTGCAGGATACACTTCACTCACCATGGCGAAGGGAATCACCATGAAACCGAGCGCGCTCCCGAAAATGTACATCAGTATGCACATCACGGGGATCAGGCCGCCGTCGTTTATGGTGTACCCCCTGTCCTGCAGCAGCAAGTAAGCCGACAGTATCCCCATGAAGATCGTCATGGCTAGCCCAGAAACGATCGAGGATTTCCGTCGGCCATACTTCCCCGACACGCACGCCACCAGTATGCTACCCAGCAACCTGGTCACTCCTATCAGAACTGCTCCCAGATTCGGGTCTATGGTGACACCGGCACTCTGCACGATGTCTACCGCGTAATAGACCACCACGAAGATCCCGGAGAACTGCTGGAAGAAGAAGTAGCTCAGCATAATGGCGAACGGCACCATGGCGTTCCTCTTCAGCAGGTGCTTCATCAGGTTCTGCTTCTTGCGCTGGGGACGCGGCTTCAGCTCTTGACACAACTTAGACGGGGGCGGCACGTGTTTCGGGATCCCGTGGAACCTTTTCAGCACCTGCAGCGCCTCGTCTAGACGACCTCTATCTCGCAGCCAGATCGGGGTTTCTGGGACGACGGCCAAGGTCAGCACGACCGAGACCACCGGGAACAGGGCGCACATCAGAGCCACCATTCGCCAGTTGTCCTTTGAAAAAGAAAGATCGTGAGTTGCTTCCTGCATACCTGTTCTTTCATTTATCTATCGCAATCGCGTTCTTGAAGTCTCATTTTCTGTTTTAGAGCAATTTCAATCTACGCGTTTACGTGGTTACTTTCGGCCATTTTCTTTTTCTCTTTTCTTTATCTATGGAGGGACGAGTGATCGAAACGAAGTTGCGATTACAAGGTGAGAAGCACAAAGTTGCCGTGACTTCGTTCAAACGTGTTCGTGGAGAAGACAAGGCTACTTTTTAATTACCTTGAACGCATAGCCAAAGACGTAGACGGTTAGAATGCCGACGGCGATGGTTATGCTGGTCCACGTGACCATCGTGGACCGCCATATTGGAGAGGCAACCTCTGCGCTATAAACAGTGGCTGGAACAGATGCTGTGCCGGTCGCGATTCCGGAAATGATTCTGCCTACGAGAATTTGTTCGTACGTTCCAGCGAGATAAATCACCATCCAGCCAACGATGGACACGATGGACGTTATCAACAGGCTCAGCTTTCTTCCGTGTCTCATGGAGAAACTGGAGACGATGCAACCAAGTGGAATACCCAGTGCCGTAGCGGTGGCTGTGAATTAATAGGATTGTTAATTGCGGTGCAAGAACGTCGTAACGGAGTCTATAGTTAAATTTTTATCCAAAGATAATTTAAAGCTAGTCTGCCTAGAATATGTCATGGCCGCAGAATAATTAACGCTTAGGTTAAAATTAACAGTGTTTAAATTAACAGTAAGCTAAGTTAGGCGAATTGGGCAATTTCTCGGTCTTATTTTCACAAATATCGTTAAGCCAGGCCGATGATTTACGTAGATACTGACCAATCCAATTTCCCTGTCCGCTGTCGATCTTCACGTCACTGGTAGGCGCCATTAATGGCCCCAGCGCTACTGCGCTGTAGCCGAACGCCATGGAAGGGCCCAAAACCGAGGAGTTCGCGACCAGCGACATGATAATCTGTAGATAAATAAATATCTCAATAGACGAAGTAACCATTTCTCAAAGACGGGTTATAGGATTCTAAATCATCCCATAACGCGTAAAATTATTCAGTATTGCCTTATGTACCTCTATTCCTGTACGAATGTAAATTCCACGAGTATAGCAATGCTTAGACGGTTTTATTTTATTTCAAGCAGATCGATAATTTATTCCTATCGGAGTCCTTGAAGGGATTACAATCTCCTTAATTTTTCTGGAACGTGCGCGACACCGTGAGATCCTCGAGTTACATAAAGCTCTGCAACTCGTAATTCTCGTTTGTGACGAAACGGTTCGATTTCTGCCTCTGATCCCGTAATTACAGATACTGTAATCTCTAGCTAACACCCTGAAGTGCGCGGCATCGAGATGTTTAATTAACCAGCAGATAACGAATTAAAAAGTCGGCCGCGATTTCAAATCCGCGTAATTTTAAATCACGCTATCGATCTGAAACGGAAACTAGCGATGCGACGAATTCCGATATCACTCCGAATAACTTTCAACCCAGTCTTTCTCAGATAAAGCGAACAGATTTAATGGAATCTCAGATAAATTTTGTAATCACTGGAACTCTAACTTTTCTCCCGTTTCGATAAAATTAATCCACCTTATATCGCAATGCCAATGTCAACAGTTTGCTCGTTCATGCACAAGATCGATCCCCGTTGTCGATGAAACAAATTTTCCAGAATTTCGCGCCTGTTTTGTCAATCTCGGTGCTATCTTGCGCTAGAAAATTTCCATCTTCCATTAGTCATCGAGGCAAATTGGGAATCGGAAGACCCTGAGAAACGCGTCGTTCCGGCGCGACCTCTTGCAAGGTTCATCGGGCTAGACGATGAATAAAAGGGTAGATAGGCGAGGACCAAAGATCGAGGTTGACTAAAAGCGAGTGAATCGGGGGAGATTTTTTCCCGAGCAACCCTACTATCTCTCGGACAGCTCTTATGTGACCAATATCGAAACCGGTTTGGGCCGAAGGTTCAACAGAGAAGAGGCGCAAGACAGCCGGAGGAATAATTAAATTAAGCCTTGAGGTGTCACCGCGAGGTTTACGTAAAGCTGCGTTAAACGTTTGATAATATCCACGGTATTTCCAGTTACGCAAGTCCTTCTAATACGCTTTTCTGTCCCTCTATTTGGCGCATCTAGGTAGTCGCAGCGGTGCAGTTTCGCAACGAGAGATGCGCGGGGCCTGACGTAGTTAGCCGTTCATAGTGCCATGTTTGCAATTTTTTTACGGTTTATAAATACCCTGGCCGAGAACGATGAACAATTCGTAGCACACCTTGACATTCCTGCCTTTCTCGTTTTTCTCTATATTCTCCCCTGCAGGAATTTACTCGTTCTTCATTGCACGAGCGAGACGAATATCAACGATAAGAATAGCCTGGCGATACAGGAAAGAATTAATACTGCTTCCCATATGTCGAAGAAGCTGCCGAATTATTGCAACTGAGAAGCCGTCTAGGATCGATGGCGAGCAGAGAGGAATCTTTAATGTGTGTCTAGCCTTGAGAAGCAGGTCGAAGACTAATCCGATATTAAACTGGGATCACGAGAGTGTCGCGGAGGAAAAAGGAAACGTCGAACTTGTAATGGCAGGAATCGAGCATCCCGCATAATTTATTACGCAGATAACAGGCCAGCCATCAGAATTTTTTTACGCAAGTCCAGACAGACGATCCTTAGTCTGTCTCTCTGCGTATTCCTCCTCTCCGCCACAGTCTTCGTAACTCGACCTTAGACAAGATCTCCGAGAGAAGATGGAAAAAACTCACCCTCGTCTCGGGGAATATGAAGAATCGATAATCTATCCCCGGGAGAGGCTTTTCCCCGAATTCCTTGCACCATTTTCGTGCCCCGTTTATGGGAGGATGCGGGAAACCGTAATGGCGTCCGAAATGAACGCGAGCTGGCAGCAAATAAGGTACCAATTGAGGAAATTAAGTGCTCCAGAAGATAGAAGAGCAATTTGGCACGACAATTATTGGACCAATGGTACGCTTAATCGGTTATCTACACAGAAGAGCATGATGCGTGTCGCGAGACGAGAAAAATCAGAGTCGAGTATTGCTCCCATCCCGATCGATGCATCGATCGCGTATGTACACTCGAATCTATTTATTTGCCATTCTTCGTCAAGATAATTACGAAATCATATCGACATTAATATCAATTATTAATCGTCCTTTAATTAATTCAAAAACTGAAATAATTCCCGAATTTTCGTTGCTCGAATTTTAAAATTCACTCAATTTTTGAGCCCAAGAGTTACATCGAATTTGAAATAGTATAAAAGACATGTCTCTGTATTACGCTGGATCCATACCAATTATTAATCGTTATTTAATTCAAAAAATGAAATAATTCCCGAATTTTCATTGTTTTAATTTTCAAATTCTCTCAATTTTTAGCTCTAGAGTTATATTGGATTTGGAATAGCATAAAAGACATGTCTCGATATTCTGCTGCATCTATACCAATTATTAATCGCCCTTTAATTTAAAAGATGAAGTAATTTCCAAATTTTCATTGTTTTAATTTTCAAATTCTCTCAATTTTTAGCTGAAGAGTTATATTGGATTTGGAATAGCATGAAAGACATGTCTCGATATTTTGCTGCATCTATACCAATTATTAATCGCCCTTTAATTTAAAAGATGAAGTAATTTCCAAATTTTCATTGTTTTAATTTTCAAATTTCCTCGATTTTTGAGCCCAAGAGTTACATTAGATTTGAAAATACAAAACTCATGTCTCGATCACGAATTAACGAATCGATAAACAATTCTCGTTGACGATGAAATTCCGGATCCAATCTACCGAGTGTCGCAATCGGTCATAAATTCACGCGAACGAAACGTAGACTCGATTCGTTTGAAATTCTGAAAACGCTCGGCGCGTTGAAAGATTACCGCGGTAAAAAACCGAGGAACTTGGTCATTGTGGAAAAAACAGGTGGAGAAAAAAGAAAACAGCTTAATCCTCATATCGTTTTATGTCACATCGCGGTAACACACGGCCCGAGCGATAACGACTTTTCAAGTGATTCATTTGATACAGAACAACGTGATACGGTAGAACCGAAGCTAGAAGAAAATATAACATCTTCGCGTTATCGTCGCTGCTACTTTTCTCTACACACGCACGATGCGTGTCAAAGACCTCCACCGAGGGAAAATAAAATTAATCGAGCAAACGATTTCGCGATAAACGATTTGTTTTCGACCTCGAGCATCGTCTCGAGCCGCTAATGGAAATTTATATTTCGCCACGATGTCGTTCCACGATAGCGAATTCCTATCTCTTGACCGATTCTTCTTCCAACCAGAGCTTTTCGCTCCATTTTCCCTCAATTCCCGGTCACTATCGCGACGTTTCCATCGGTAAGTCGCGTCTCCAGTATTTTTCGACTATTCAATTATTTGCTTCGCAAGTTATTCGCAAACTAGGTAGCCTCGTTATCACACAAGCGTAATTTATTGTCGAATTATCGCTGCTCAATTCCAGGCAATACTCGAATTCGTGTCTCGGGAGTTATCGTTGATTTATGAATTCGTATTAACGCTCCCGTCAGCGAAAATAACGCCGATTTCATTCTCTGAATCATTTTTTTTTTCTGTTTATTTCTTTTTTTCTTTTCTAAAAATATCGTTAAAGGAACGCAGTTCTACCTGATATACGACACCTTTCCTCTCCCGCCTCTTTTCCTCGTCCTCGTCGATGTCCATCTGAAAGAAAATTATTCTACGTTTCAACTAATGCGCCTTTTTAATGCTGTTTAACACGCCTGCTTGATAATCGACTTATGTAATTAGGGTTAAAGTCACGATGAATGTTCAGCTCTTGTTTATACTTCTTTTAGAGTTGCGAAATTAAAGGAATATTAGAAGAGC